TGAGGACTGAGAATGGAGGGTGAGGAGGGCTGCTGGTGGAAATTTGTGGTCAGACCCATGCAGCTCTGTCCTCATCAATCAGCCAAATCTTATTTCTAAGATACTGTTGATTATAGTATATGTCATTGATTTAGGTAATCATCTTGGAAAGAAAGCATTATGTTAAATGTATAGGTAGATTATAAAGCTTATCCTGATCTTAGAAATGTTAAAATGTGAAAATGGTAAATATAGTTATTAATTATATATATTTATGATCTATATATTTACATATTTAATAGATATATTTTATTTAATAAGTGTATATTTAATTACTATATTTAATATATATTTTTTAATGGGCTGGTGTACTCAGGAATATCTTTTAAAAAGTAAGACCTAGCTGTGTCTCTAGCAGAGAATTCATGAGGAAACACTTAGAGATAGTGTGTAATTCCAAGTCAAACTTTGAATAAGGGGCTGTGGGACCTCAGAGAGGTGGTGGTCATAAGGGCCGCAACCATCAGAAAAAGCTTCCTGTGGGTTGTGGCATTTGAGCTGGGCCATGAAAATTGGAATGACTAGCTAAGAATGGTTGCTTATTATGTGCCAAGCACAACAACTGTAAGAGTAGGGACTGTTATTATCCTCATTTTACAGAAGGGGAAACTGAGGCTCAAAGAGCTTCAGTAATTTGCCCAAGGTCACATAGCTCACAAGTAGCAGAGCCAGAATTCAATCCTTGGATTGCCTGGACACTACACTCTGTGATGTCTGGGGTGACCAGGAGGAGAGAGAGGCTCTTTCCAATAAGAGGAAACCCACAAGTGTGTAAGAGGAGAGAATGAGTTGGGGATCCCCCTAAGACTGCTCCAGGAAGGTTGGCCTTGGAGTTTTGAATCCTGGTTATCAATGAGGGGAGTCTCTGGCCATTTGATGCGGACTTTGAGTTTGAGGAGGCCCCAGATCTTGTCTGCTCTTCAGGGGCAAATTTGTTCAGGTCACCAGTGAGATCTCGTCAAAAACTCTGATTTTTCTCTTACTCGTTGTCCACGAGCATCATGCTGTTATTTCTAGCATCATGCTGTTATTTCTTAGGGAGCTTGTTCCTGGATTTTCTTTTTCCACCAAAAGTGAACTAATATTGTTTCCAAGTAGCTGTAGCCTTGCAATCCTTTACTGCTTTCTGCAGTTTAACTTGCCATCAAGAAGTACAAAGGTCCGAATCATGCTGAAATTTCAAGTTTGGTTTTGTTCAGGAATTCATTTAGAGAAATAGTCTTGGTTGTAAACACAGAATATATAAGAATTCAGGCATTATGCTTTTTACAAAATTTCAGTCTATTGCTATTATGAGTTTTCCTGATTTATCCCTTTATCAGAGTTTGTCATCATATCCTAACTGAAACCCAGTGGTTCCCGGTACTTATAAATCTGAGGGGAGAACCCTCAAATTTGGGAAGCTGCCCCGCCTCACCAAGAGGCTCATATCAACACTGACTCCCCCATGCCTTGAACTGGCAAAACTGGGGAGGTTCCAGTTGGAAACCTGCCACTCCCCAGGGTGCATATCCAAGGTCTCTAAGTACTGGAGTGGAAATGAAGTCAGGTGTCTTCTTTGATTGTTGCCCACATCTCTTTTCATGAAATCATGTTTCAATTTCTTCTCCCCGTGTGCTAAGGCTGGTAGGCAGGGGTCAGTTTCATTTTGAGTCAACAGCTGTCCCCTTGGTTCCAAAGAACCAGTGAGATATGGGATGTGGCTAAACATTTTCAGTGATTCAACAACCAAACATGGCGCTGCCAGGAGCAAAAGCCAAACGAGAAAGTAGCGAAAGAGAAGCCAGTACTAGAAAAAGTGGGTAGATGTGGGTTCAGATCTCAGTGCTGTCACTTGGTAGCCAGTTACCTATCTTTCTGAGCCACAATTTCCTCATCTAAAAGCCTGGGTAAATAAATTGTTACTTCCTAGGGTTCTGCTGAGGAATAAATGAGATAGTGTAATGTAAAAATGTAAGGCCTGGCATATATTAAATACTTTTGGCTGTACGATTACTGCAAAGTATCATTGCTATTACTATTAAACTTATCCAAGCCTTAGTTTCCTAATCAGCAAGATGAGAATAATATTAACTACTTACTAGTAGTTATTATTACTAATTGAAATAATACAAGTGGATGCATCTGGCACATAGATATTCATCCATCCATCCATTCATTTCCAGTCTCTTATCTGGTATCCATCAGAAGTTTATCCACCTTGGGAGTTAGGAAAAGGCCACTATATTTGGCAATAGTTCCTAATTATCTTGAATGCATCTTGCTACACAAGCCCTGTGAGTGGGGCTTTGGCAGGCTCACCTTCCCATAGCACCCAAGGGAGAATGGTTGTCACCTGTTCCTTTGGGACTGAAACAGCCATTTGGACTTCTTAGCTTTCTGGTTGTAGCTGCAGGCTGGAGCAAAGTTCAGGTGCAGCTCTGCACTGAGACAGAGGGCAGATTTTGTACAAGACCTTCTGAGGGAGGAAATTCCAATCTGGGGCAAGCTTTCCAGCCACAGCAAGCGGTGAGCTGCGCAACTGGCCAGCAGACACGGCCGCGCAGAGAGAGTGGGCCAGTCTGGGTCCCGGATGCTGCGGACTGGAGGGCGCAGATGGCCAGGCTGGCTCTGTGCCTGTTCCCCAGCCTCCGGGCAGTCGCTCACCCTCACAGAGGGGGAACCTGGCCTGGGAGTGTTACCCGACACCCATCTGACTACTGACTGCTTAACCGAGTTTAAACCAGAACGGAGATTTATGCAGCACAGCTCTGGTGTCCGGGCCCAAGGAGGTCATTTCCCCCGCCCCGAGGTGGGGGCAGTTGACTTCAGGTCAGGCCAAACAATATTCAGGAGGAATCCTACTCTTTCGGGCTCTCTTGCAATGACAAAGTGGTTTAGGGTGATGGACATTAGAGCCAAGCCAGGATAGGTCTGGAGATAAGATTGGAAAATTACTGACAATTAGCTAAAGAGGTCCCCCGCAGGTGGAATGTGCATTTGGGAACTCTATAGACTCCAGCCAAGTGCAAGTAGGGAAAAGTATTTTTTTTTTGGGAACAGAGTTCTGACAAACGCAAGGCATAGTAGAGAAACAGGCATAACTTCAAGTCCAGTTGTGTAAACCTGAGCAAACACACACTAGCCCATCAGTGCTACCACACATACTCCCATTCCTCGTGTACAGAACCCACATAACACCTAGGTACCACTCCTAGCCACACTCCCTCACACTCCTAGCCGTCTTCCCCCCAGACATCCTGTCCTCCCTATAGACCAACCACACACAGCACGGATCCCGCCCGCCCCCCACCCCGCCGTGCACACATTATACACACAGCCATCAGATAAACACAGTCTCCTTAGGAAGCTGATTAATAAAACTATGTTATCTTTAATTACACTTGACTGATAATAATGTCCTCAGAGCCTGCACGGTTAGATTGGCTCAGATTGTAACATCCAGATTAGAGTTGAACTCCCTTTGAACTCCGGCCACACTGCTGGTCTCTCCAGCTCAGAGATTACAAATGGCTTCAGCTGGATTCGCCCCATGGACCTGGGAGTGTAAGTAGAATTCCAGCTCTCCTTGGTTCTCTTTCCTTTCCGACACTGGACAGATGATATCTCTAAAAAAACACATGGCCAAGCCTAGGAGGAAGGCCCAGATCAAATGGCCTCCTCCAGTTCGCCCCTGTGTACCCTGGTGGGTCTACTTTCAAACCAGTGTCAACCTCAGACCCCAAGAAGGGAGTTACCACGAAGGTTGTCTTGAAGACTGACACTTGAAAGCCAACACTTTAATTCCTGGATCGTGGGCTCTTGGGGACAGGCTCTAGTGAGCCATAATTAACTCTTTAAAGTCTTCACTGTGCCCTGCAAATAGTAAAGTATCTGATTCTTTATGATGTAACGCTGAATGGAAGCAGCGAGGAGGCCTTTTAGGCTAATTACATGTTGGAATGAGGTTAACGACATGCCAAAGATTCTTTGCACGGCTCTCCTGGCATTGACAAGTCACTTGGTAACACGCTAGGGCTGAAGACAGCGATGACTTTTAAAGAGGGCGGGGGCTGGAAATTGAGCTTAGACAGGCTGCTGATGTCATTCCCCAATATAGTTTTGACCCTGCGACAAACACCAACACCTCCCCCACCCCTAATTTCCAGGGGTTGAGAGATCTGGATTTTAAACTGGCATTCAATGCTCTGGGCCTGGAGATGTGCGGTGCCCCCCTGCAAGGGTCTCAGCTCTCTCCTATGCATTTCACGGCCTCCGAATTTAGCCAGGGATGAAAGCCAAAGCCCACCACCTAATGGGATGCTTTGGAGCTGGGTAGGAGGCATGTCAACATGTCAACACAAATAAGCAAGGTGTACATCAAAAGGAACAGCTGGATCCCAGAAAAATGCCCAATACACAGGAACGAGTTCTGGTACCAGCCAACTGCAAGAGCTTACCAGGGTCAGGATCCCATTCCTCGGGGGAGCTCATGGGCACCTCAAAGTCTTGCAGGGACCACCTGACAACTGCTCCTTTCCCATCCTTCTCCTTTGGGCCCGCCATTACCTTAGTCACCTGCAAGCAGGACTGTCCCAAAGGACTCCGGCCTGGACTTGAGGGTGCCACATCCTGCGCTGCCCACTCCCCAGCACCCTGTCTGGGTGACATTGGCTAAAAATGGGCCCTCTCGGTGGACCAAAGGCGGGGGGACACATAGCTATAAAAGACCACGCTTCGTGAGGAGACCTGTCCTACCCCGTAGGAGCAGGGATGGGGGCTGGCTCGTAGGGTAGGATGTATGGAGGGGAGCCTCAAAGTTTCCTTGGCACTTGAAAGAAGATACCTAATCTTCCTCCCTGGAAAAGGAGCTGTGCTCCCGCTTCTTCCCTGATGGAAGGATGGGGGCGAGGCTAGCTCTGCCCACTGGGCCTCTCCCACCAGGCCCTGGCCTCTCCCGCACGCGCGGACACAGCACCCACCTCAGCTCACTCGTCCCGCCAGGCTGGGCTGGGCTCGGCTCCTCCGACGTCGTCATCGCCCCGTCCAGAGCGGGCCCCGGTGGGGCGGGCCCGGCCTCAGCGAGGAGGACACCGCATGGCTCCCTCCGGGCCGGGGCCGCCTCCTCTGGGTGTCCCAGCCCCACGCAGCCTCCCGGGTGCAGCAGGGTCCCGGACGGGCGGGTAGGGCACCTGGGTTAGCAAGGCCCAGGGGTTGGCAGGAGGGGAGGCCGGGCTCTCGCTTCCACACGGGGCGGGGGGCACCTGCTGCGGGGGGCTGCCCACGGCCCTGGCTCCAGCAGAGGCGACGTGTGGTGACTGGAGGAGCCGGGAAGAAATGTGTCAGACGGGGACTGTCAGCACCTCAGCACCCTGCCAAACAGTAATTACAGAGCCTCGTGCCACCCAGGAGAGGGAGGGCAATATTTTATCCCCATTTTATGGAAGGGTAAGTGGAGGCCCAGGGAGGTCAGGCAACCACTTGAGCCAGTCAGTCAGAGGCTAAACGTGGCCTCGAGGGGGGCTGACTCAGAGGTTACTAGGGGAGCTTGGGTGAAGCCAGGCCCGGGGGAACAGTCACAGGCGGGTTCGCCTCCTGGCACCTATGGGCCCCAACAGCTTTTTAGTCCTCTCTCCTCCTAGGGGCCTCCTTACCCCTGCCAGCTCTGCGTCCTCTATAGCTCCTCTCTGACCCTGCTTTACACACTGGCCCATTTGGCATTTGTCTAGAACCCAGTTCTCCCCCAGGGAAATGCTAGTCTCCCAAAACACTGTGTGAGGAAAAATGTCCCAGTCAACTAAGTTAGGATGGGCATGCTAGCCTACTAAAGCTCTGAGAGGGGGCCGCCTGGGTGGCTTGGCGGTTGAGCATCTGCCTTCGGCTCAGGGAGTGACCCCGGGGTCCTGGGATCAAGTCCCGGGTCGGGATCCCCGCATAGAGCCCGCTTCTCCCTCTGCCTGTGTCTCTGCCTCTCTCTGTGTGTCTCTCATGAATAAATAAATAAAATCTTTAAAAAAAAACAAAAAGCTCTGAGAAATCTTCCAGAAAAGAAACCTGTTTAATTTTTCTTAACCCAGCATTTCCCAAACTTATTTGAGCAACTTTTTCTAGTAACATCCATTAACATACCACCCAGCTAGTGCTCCCAGGCGCTCGTTGGGAAATCCTAATGGAGGCGGTCAACTCCCCAAGAGAAGGGACTATGCCTCTTTTGCTGGGGTGTTCCCTGCACCACCCACTCATGGCAGGCTCAGGAAATTGGGCAGAATTGAGTGGTACTGTCATTTCCCTAGTTTGTCAGACGCAAAAGCCTGAAGTCATCATTCCTCAGAGCCCTTGCATGAAGCCAGTCACCATGTCATGTTGTGTTGACCCCTCCTGGCCCCCGCCATGATATTTCTCTTCCATGTATCCCTCTTACAGTCAGCATCCCATGATTTACCACCTCTGCAGAGAGGCCTTTCCTGACCACCCTTTCTAAGGTATGCCATTTCCTCTCGGTGGCCATGTTGCTCAACCCCAAGGGGTGCCATTTCCAGTAGACCACAACACCAATGGTGCCTGTTGGAATTGTGCAATATGACATCCCACTTATTCTCAGTTGCCTTACTCATGGTAGTTTTCTTCCTAGTACTTTATACTATTCAACATGTATTTACTTATTGAGCATCCTCAGGAAATCAACTAATTGTTATGCAGGTTGCTCACTGCATGAGGGGCTTGGACCAGGCCTTGTCTTGTGTCTCTTTGCATCACTCCTGAGTCCACACTGAGACAGCAAGCTCCTGCATATGCTAACGGAGAAGAGGGAGAAATCCAGCCTGAGCTCTGCTTTCTGAGCTGAGCGTCCTGGAAGGGGCTGCATCTTCCCCTAAAAATGCTTTTATTCACTCCCTCAAGAGGGATATCTGTTTGTCCAGCTGTGTGCCTGTGGGCTATGGCCATTCAGCTGGAGATCCTTTGTCCAATTTAAACAAAGGTGCCATGCAGGGCAGCCTCATGGTCTATTCCATGGTCTAAACTCCATGACCTATGATTGACCATTTACTTTTTTATTAATCATCCAAACCAGGGCAATTTTGAGGATAAATATGGCACCATTTAATAAATATGTGGGGACAACAGATAAAAATCAGGGCTATCCTGGGAAAATTAGAGTATCATGGTCACTCTGTTCATGTGAAACAGACTGGTTTTGTGTATTCCTTTATCCTCACTGTCTAGAGCAATATCCAGCGCAGCATATTTATGGAATAATGATTGAGAGAATGACTCCTGCTATAATCCCCAAACTGGGCTCCCTGCTTCAATTCTCTCCCCTCTTCTAATCCATCCCACCAGATTAATTCTCCTAAAATACCACTGTACATTCAGAAGCCTCCCACTCTAGCATCTTCAAAGTTTCTGCAGCTCCATTTCCCAAAGTGTTTTTGAAGAAACACTAAGTCTAGGCACCTGGCTGGCCCAGTCAATACACCACTTGATCTCAGGGTCATGAGTTCAAGCCCCATGTTGGGCACAGAGCCTACTCAACAACAACAGCAACAACAACAACAGCAACAAAAACAAAACAAACAAAACAAAAACAAAAATCAAAAAACCAACCTGCTAAATCCAATGAGATGCGTTAAGAAAAAAGAAACAAAAGACAAGAGTGCTGTGAGTTACTACTTGGAAATATTTGGATATCCACCATGACACGGTAGAGGCAAAAGCAAGAATTATAAAAAGGAAAGTCGCTGAACTTTGTTTTGCTCAGGGAACCAGAAATGCATTTGTACCTGGAATTTCTGTTTTTGACCTACTGCATCCATTAGAGTTGGATGGGAAACTTTGGAGTACTCTTCAATAGGCCAAAGTCCTTTGTTTGATATTCAAAGACAATCACATCTGAACCCATGTATTTTTCACACTGAGCTCCCACAAGTTCTCCTACAGGAAACCTTGGTCCCTGCGTTCGTGTAGTAGGTGTTTCCTGAATACCTGCAATGTGCCAGGCCCTGTTCCAGTTGCTGGAAACACAGAGGTGAACAAAGCAAACAAGGCACCTGTCTTAGAGCTACAGTCTAGGTGACGCTGAAGGAAAACGAATCCCGGCGTTAGCTGGACTGATCAGGGAAGGTCTTTTCCGAGGAGGGGCCAGTTGAGCCGAATGCCACCTGAACGACTTGAGTGTTGGCTAAATTGGTTTGCTCCCGGTTCCCTGAAGACATCCCATGCATCCTGCATGTCTCTGAGCATTGGATCACACTCTCCTTTAAATTTGGAATTTTCTCCCCATTAACCTCCTGTTTTCTAAATCTTATTTTTCCTTCAGTGTTCCCTATAGTATAATTTCCTCCTAGAGTCTTCTTGAAGACATCTAAACTCCTCCAACACATTGACCCCTCACACGTTTGGCCCTTAGCACAGGCTACCTGTTGTTGGCCTTGTATCTCTTTTTTTGTATTTTTGTACTTTCCTGGATCTTGGACCTAGACTGTAAACCCTTGTATACATTAGGAGATCAATAAATGTTTGTTGATGATGAAGCTATGTTCTCCAACACAGGCTAGATGAGAAACAGGAAGTGACTCTAATGTCCCATGCCAAATGGGACTAATGTCTATGACTGCCCGCGGAAATGTGTTGGGAAGGGTCCTGATGCTGTGTGTTAAGAGCACCAGGATCTATTAGTGGTGTTTTCCGTGTGTGTGTGGCATGCAGATCATAGGCACACCTGTTTGCTATTCCTGAACTAGACCTTGCAGAGGTTCAATGTTATCAGCTCAAATGGGATTCAGTGAGTATAGGACTGAAGGAATTCTCAGGTAGGAGACTCGGTAATACAGCTCACTCTCAGGAGCCCAGCCTCTGAGTGTGTGGTTCTTGTCAGTGTTCTCTGTGCCAGAAGAAAGACGGGCAAAATGATAGGAGAATCTTATTTATTAATTTTTTTTTAGAGAAGGAGCGAGAGAGAGAGAGAGAGAGAGAGAGAGAGAGAATCTTAAGCAGGCTCCGCGTCTAGCAGAGTCTGACACAGGGCTCAATCTCATGACCCTGAGATCATGACTTGAGCTGAAATCAAGAGTAGGATGTTTAACCGGCTGAGCCACCTGAGTGCCCCTGGAGAGAGCCTTTCTTAAAGTGCCAGCCTCGCCTCATGCTGCCTTGGAGTGAATACAGAAAAGAAACTGCTGCAGGAGGGGACGGAGTGGGGAGAGGACTCTTCATTCATTCAGCCTCTTAGGTGGAGCCCAAGCCAAGAAAACTTGACCCCCCTTCCTGTTTTATAATTTTGGGCTTATGGGAAGGTTTTAACTTCCTAGCTTTAGATAGACAACTATTTGGGTGAGGGCAAAAAAGAAGAGAATACCTTAAGTGGCATCCGAAAACAGTAGTAACAAAAATTAATGAAGAAAAAATAAAAAGGAAAGAAATCATCTGTAATTTCTCATCCTGGACAAAGTACCACTCTGGGCACTTTAGTCATCTCCTCAACAAATATTTACTTTGTGTCTATCATGAGCCAGGCATCCAGCACTGGGCTAAATAATACACAAACTAGTGAGTATCTAAAAGGAAAACATTAGATTTCTTTTTGTTGATTGTGAAGTGTAATGGGCCAGAAAGGTAGCACCTGAAAAGGCATGTCCATGTTCCAGGTCCCAGAAGCTGTGACTATTATATGGCTTTTTCAAAAGAGATTTTATTTATTTATTTATTTATTTATTTATTTATTTACTTACTTACTTATTTAAGAGAGAGAAAGAGAGAGAGTGCACACGCGTGAGCATGAGTGGGAGGAGGGGTAGAGGGAGAGAGAGAATCTCAAGCAGACCCTGTGCTAAGCATAGAGCATGATGCTGGGCTTAGATCTTCTAACCCTAAGATCATGACCTGAGCCGAAATCAAGACCCTGACACTCAACCAACTGAGCCACCCAGATGCCTGACATGAGTCCTTATAAGAGAAAGGCAGAGGCCATTTAGAGACAGGTGCATAGAAGAGGAGAGAGGTGATGTGAAGATGGGAGCAGAGACTGGGGTGATGTGGAATCAAGTCCAAGATTCCACATGGAACCTCCCTCAGACTCCTTGGAGGGATCATGGCCCCCACTGGCTCCTGATTTCAGACTTCCAGCGTCTGGAACTGTGAGAAAATAAATTTCTATTGTTGTATGCCACCAAATTCGTGGCAATTTGTTAGGGTGGCCCTAGGAATCCAATATACAAAGGAATATGTAATATACAGGCAAACCCAAAAAGAAGAAGTGCACAGTAATTCTATGGTTAAGGGACACACCACTATGGGATTATTTTAAACACCTTTCCATGTCTTATTGTTCATTAGCATGATTTTAATGACTTCCATCCTATTAGTCTTATGCAAATGCTATAATTTAACTGATA